TCATTTCTATTTTTTTAAAAAAAATTATTATACCAAAATTATATTTTTTAACTTAAAAATATGATCTTTAATTAAAAATAATATTATACAAAGAGTATATTTTTTAAAATAAAAACGTGACCTTTAATTAAAAAAATTATTACACAATACTATATTTAAAAAAAAATAGAAACATGATTTTTGTGATGAAAGATTATGTTTTTTAAAATTAAAAAAGTATGTTCTTTGAAAAAAAAAAAGCTGGCATTGATTAGACCTAATCAGTTCAGTCCTTCCTAGGGGTGTAAATGATACATTAGTACTCGCAAGTTACTCGGATTCGATTCGAAGAAAACTTGAATTCGGTTCGATTATTATCGAGTCGAGCTCGAGCTCGAGTAGTTCGATTTATCGATTGAGCCGAATTCGAATATTCTTATATCCGACTTGAGTAGCTCGCGAGCCTAATCGAACTTTTATATTTAAATATATTTTTATTATTTTAATTAATAAAATGTTTCGAATCCGAGTTCAAGTTCAAGTTCGAGTATGAATAATCAAACTCTTGTCGAGTATACGAATCGAACTTATTTTTATATATTAATCGAACTTAATCGAGCGAGCTCGAATAACTCGAATTCGATCACGAATCAAATTCGAACTTAAAAAATAAAACTCAATCGAACTCAAATCGAGTATCGAACTCTAAATTATAAATCAAATTCGATCTCAAACTTCTCACTATTCGATTTAACTTGATTCGATTACACTCCTGATCCTTCCTGTCCCACGGTTTTGCTACCCACAGATATCGACCCGGCCATTATTTCTTTCTTCAAGTCAAAATTGTTGTGCGAAACCCAACCAACTTTTCCTCTTAAAATTCTCAAGTTTTGTCTTACCAAGCAACATTCTGCCAATATCACCAAATCTAATCACTTTTTTAATAAAAAAATCAATGTCAAACATTTAATGTTTTTCTTTTCATATTCTTTCGTCATTATCTCCCATTCTCTTTTTGTACTTTTTTTAATGAAAAAAGTTAAAACAAAAGAAAGAAAGAAGCAGATGATGCATGTGAACGGTCCTAGGAATGGTCAAAGGTGGTCAAAATGAGTAAAATTTAATTTATGAGTTTTATTAAATATACGTATAATATATTTTGTTTTTATATTTCATAATTTTATATTTAATTAAATATCATTTAAAAATAAATATTTTTAAATTGTTAAATAATTTTATTATAATATTTTAATTTGTAATTGTTTTAAAAAGAAGGTAACGTGACACATAAAGTTAATATCCAACACTAACTAAATTTTTTAAAAAATTTAATAAAAGAACTAAATGGGAATGAAAAATAAATAAAAAAGGCAGGGGGTTAAAGATTTTATAAAAAATAAAAATAAAAAAGTAAACTGAAAAGGAATGGAAGAATGGGATGAAGTTGGCGTGTAGGAGAATGTAAATGATGTTTTGCTTTATATTTATGAGATACTAGGAGAAAGAAAGAAAAAGAGGAAGATGAAAGAAAATATATAAGCATTTTAAGGTAACACATAACAAAAATTTTAAAAGTGAAAAAAAAAAAAAAAAAAAAAAGAAGACAGTAAGGAAACTGCCGTGTGATACTCTAAATGAAAAGGACTGTTATCCGTATATTTATAAAATTTATCTTATGTATTGAATAATATAAATAATCATAAATTAAATTTAAATTATATAAATTTAATTATTCATGAAATTAGACATTCATGAATTTATGATATTTGTGAACTCAATTTAATTGTTGATGAATGTATTTAGTGTTTAATGTAATTTAAACTTAATATATCTATTAAATAGTATAAATTTATGAATCAATTGAGTATTATATTTTAGTATAATTTTTTTTAAGTTCTAATACATTATAAAAGTATCAATTATTGATTTTGAATGATTATAAATTATGTTTTTTTTTAGTTTATGCATCGATATAGTTTCAATTGAATAAATTTGTTGTTTTGTTGACATTAGGAATGATTTGTAAATATTTATTATTTATTTCATAATGAAAAAATAATGAGCTAAGCAAAGTAAGGTAATTTTTCTTGTATAAATGATTTCTTTGTTCTGAATTTTAAATATGATTTTCTTTTTGCTTTGACCTTCGAGTATGGTTTTGTTCAAGTATATCTATATATTTATCTAATTTTGTGAATACAATCTGTAGTGTAAGATAGTTTGAAAAAAATTCAAATTTTGTTTTATAGAGGTTTGCTTTGTGATAATGCATGAATATTGATTTTGTATATTTTGAATAATCTAAAAATATATTTTATTTTATCTTTTAATATGATTATGCTTTGCTTATGTTAAGGAAGATTAAATATTGATCATATTGATATGTATTCAGTGATTAAAAATTGATTTTACATTGTCCCACAGATTTTAAAATAATAAATTTTATTTTATTCAAGTCGGTTACTCCTAATATACTTTTCACAGTAAATCAGTCTTTCTGTTTTATGTTCTGTTGAATACAAACATTCGATTTTTGTTATATATTATTGTGTTATCGAATCACCTAAATAAAATTTTTAAAACAAAGAGCTAAGGGATAAAAAAGTTTATTACCGATGGGAACAATTATTTACTAAAAAAACATAATTTTCCTAATTATTATAAAAGATATAAAAAAATATTGTTTTCCACAATTTTGTTCATAAATTTTTTAGGATAAATTACGTATATATACCATGTAGTTAAATGTGATTTGACTTTACCCTTTAAGGTTTGAAATGTTACATATAACCCATCTTGAGTTGTTTTTTCATGTTATTCCATTAGTATTGATTGATGCTATTAACACCTAGACCCTTATCTTCCCCTCAATGCTTCATTATCTCTTTATCCCCCATTCTCTTTCAAAAGTTTTGGTAATCCATACACAAATTTGAAACCATTTCTTTGTTTTTTTTCTCGTCATCTTCTTCCACAAAAATCACTTCTTTTTCTTTCTTAAAGTACCTCAAAGCATCAAAAGCTTGCCTTTTTACATTACTTAATCTACAACCCATAAAATTCTTTATACAGCTTTTAAATGAATCGTGGTTAGGGTTTGAAGCTGATAACAAAATTTAAGGTGTTTGACAAGGGCATGAATTTCTCTAGGAAAGGGAAACTTAGCTTTTAGGTAACAAGAGATTCTCGAAACAGTGTTGTTCGAAGATAAAATTATTTTTCTGGGCTTTTTTTATTCACCTATGAAAATTTAGGTTTTTAAAAAAATTGAAAATCTAAAGAATTAGAATATGGGGCTTTGTTTTTATGACTAAAATTGTAATAGAAATACTCATCACCATCATGTTTACAATTATTTGCTAAAGCACCCATTGATGAAATTTATAAACTTCAAACCATGAAAACTCAATACCCATTCAAAGAAAAGAATGAAACATAGATTTAGAAAGTTAGGGTTTTTATAAAAACCCTAAAAGCATAGAAACCAAAATAACCATTTTTGAAGTAAAATGTTGAAAACCCAGAATTTGAAAACCAAGATACATTAAAACCCCATGAAAAGATAGGATTTTTTAGAAAAAAAAAAAACCCTAGAAATTTTGAAGTGGAAAAATGGGAAGAAAATTTTTTGGACAAAAAGCTATTGACTTTTTTTAAGGAACAAATCAATGAAAAATTACTTAGATAGTTGTTTTATGTACTTGATCAAAAGCATGAAAAAGACAAAAAAAAAAAAAAAAGGCTCAGCAGATAAGCAATAATCATCAATATTCCCTATTTCACATCTTTCTACATCTATATATTCCTCTCCTTCTCATGAATTTTCCCTCACAATCTTTGTCCACTCTTCCTTTAATACAAGATAAAACCAGAACCTTACCTTAAATTGCAATCAATTTGTCTCCATCAGATGACATTTTCTTTCATAACCACTTGCTTCTTTTCCACCTTTTTTCACACCTCTTAGTATCTTCACATTCCTCTACAAATTCATTGGATAGTTTCACCTTTCCCACAAGAGAGTTGTTAGATGACTAAAAACTTGATAAAAGTAGTCGTAATTGTAGTAAAAACAATGACAATATTTAAAGCAACACCTATAACAGCAACAAAAACTATGTCCATGATAGATTTAGCAACCATCATCATCAAAGCCAAACAATGAAGCAAAAGCTCCATTGGCAAGCTTATTCATTTTCAAGTAATTTATGAGAAACAAAAAGCAAGAGTTGAAAGGAAATAGAGGAGAAGATGGCAAAAAATACGACGTAGGCATTAACGGTTGTTAGTAAATACTAATAGAATAACACAGAAAGACAACTCAAAGTGATTATATGTCACATTTTAAACCTCAAAAGTCAAATTTAAATCACATTTAATCACAAAGTATATATATAATTTGCTCAATTTTGTATTTTGAGTTTAAGCTAAATTTAATTTTTGTCTTTAAAACTTAATTTGATTAAGCACTTGCTAATTACATTAATTTTGAAATATAATCTAAATTTTTTAAATTAAAGCTTCAATATTTCATTTAAGGGTGAAAAAATTAAGAATTGAAAATTGATTTAAAATTGTAGTATTCAATTCAGTTTGAATTAATTTTTTCTTTTTTAATTTTAATTAAATCTAAATATTAAATACATATATTAAATTCGAATCAAATTTCAGAACAAAATGTAAAAAATCAAAAAATCAAACTGAATCAAATTATATATTTTTATTTATTTTTTATATATTTTAAAGTTTTGTAAAATAAAAATAATTATTCTATACCTAAATTCATTTTAAAAATATTAAAAATTATATTAAAAGAGTATATAATAAATAAAAAAATTAAATTTTAAAAATTACTAAACTAAACCACTAAAATTTAATTCAATTTCGATCAAATAATATAAAATTCAAATTCAAATTCAAATCAAATCAAATTTTTAAAAAATAATAATTTTATATGTTATCAAAAAATTATACCAAACGTAATCTAAAATATTTTCACCTCTAACCCCATCAGACATATTGCCAACAAGAAAAAATGGAAAAGCACAATAAATGAAAGATTCTTATTCGTCCTACTTGACTAAAGTATGCAGTCTTCGTCTTCCTCTTGAAAGTTTCGGTTTCGCAAACAAGTACAAAGCTGTCACTGTTTGAAGCTCTGTTAACCTTTCACTGTTTCCAATCACTTTCTCTCAACTTCTTCAAATCCTTCATTTTTTATTTTTTTTTGGAAAAAAGAAAAAGAGATATGGCGGGGGCCTTAGTTGGTGGAGCTTTCCTATCTGCTTCCCTTCAAGTTATGTTCGACAGGATGGCATCTCGTGAATTCATGGACTTCATTAGGGGAAAGAAACTTGAAGATGGGCTGCTGAACAAACTGAAGCCAACGCTGATGTCAGTTAATGTAGTGCTGGATGATGCTGAAAGTAGGCAGATTAATGATCCAGTTGTCAGAAGCTGGATTGATGAGCTCAAAGCTGCTGTTTATGATGCGGAGGACCTCCTCGATGAGATTGCCACTGAAGCTGTTCGAACCAGGTTGGAATCTGAGGATCAAACAACTTCAAAGATGGTAAGTCGCTTTATCTCTTCTCTTAATCCTTTTAATAAGGGGATGGATTCAAAGCTAGAGGAGATCCTTGGGAGACTAGAATCTCTAGTCAACCAAAAGGACATCCTCTGTTTGAAGGAATGTAGAAGAGAAAACCCATTTCAAAGATCACCCACAAGTTCTTTGTTGGATGAGTCTGGTGTTTTTGGTAGAGATGGTGACAAAGAAGCAATAATTATGAAGTACTTGTACCCAGAAACTGATCAAATAGATGTGATTCCGATAGTGGGTATGGCCGGGGTTGGTAAAACCACCCTTGCACAATTGATCTTCAATGACAAGAGGGTGAAGGAATGGTTTGACCCCATAGTTTGGGTATGTGTTTCTTTGGAATTTGATGCTCTCAAGGTAACCAAAGACATTCTTCAAGAGATGGGTTTTCATTGTGAAAAAGGTGGGACTCTAAATCACCTTCAACGTAAATTAAAGAACGAGCTGTTGAGAAAGAGGTTTCTGTTTATCTTAGACGACGTTTGGCATAAGAGATATGTTGATTGGGAAGAGCTGAAAAATCCTTTCACTTCTGGGGCAAAAAGTAGCAAGATTATTGTAACAACACGTGATGAAAGTGTTGCATCAATTATGAAGACTGTTCCACCTTATCATCTTCGTATCTTACCAGATGAGGATTCTTGGGAGTTATTTGCACAACATGCATTTGTTAATACAAGTCCCAGCATGCATCCACATTTGAAGATAATTGGTGAAGGAATTGTCAAAAGATGCAAAGGCCTCCCTCTAGCAGTAAAAGCACTAGCTGGTCTTTTGCGTTGCAAATTAGATGCTGATGAATGGAATCAAATATTACATAGCACTTTGTGGGACATAGCATATGATCCAGCACTAACATTAAGTTATTATTATCTTCCCTCACATTTAAAGCGATGCTTTGTCTATTGCTCAATTTTTCCTAAAGATTATAAATTCAAAAAGGAAGAACTCATTCAGTTATGGGTGGCTGAAGATCTTTTAGCAGGCTCCAAAGAAAATGTAAATATGGAAGAGGAGGGCAACAAGTGCTTCAACGATTTAATATCAAGGTCATTTTTTCAGCAATCAAGCCAGGATAAATCATGCTATGTCATGCATGACCTAATTAGTGACTTAGCTAAATCCGTGGCAGGGGAATTTTTTTGCAGATTGGAAGGTGGTGATAGACGTTCATGGAAAATAACTAAAAAGATCCGTCACTTATCCAATGTTCAGGAAATATATGATGTGCATGAGAAATTTGAGGGATTATCGGAAGCAAGTGGTTTACGAACATTCTTAACTATAAAGTCATCATCGCCTTGGTTTTCTTATGTTGCCAACATGATAATGGATGATTTGGTGATAAAATCAAGATGCTTACGAGTACTGTCTTTGTCTAAATATGGTAATATCAGTGTTTTGCCAGAAAAAATTAGTAATTTGAAGCATTTGCAATATTTGGACCTTTCTGAAACTTCTATTAAAAGGTTGCCCAACTTTTTGTGTGCATTTATAATTTGCAAACATTAATATTGTTCAGATGTATTCGTCTTGTTGAGTTGCCTAAAGACATGGGAAGATTGATCAACTTGCAATATCTCAATATCAGGAACACGAAGTTGGCGCTGATGCCACCAGGAATGGAAAATTTGGAAAATCTCCGGATATTAACAGATTTTGTTTTAGGCAAGCAAAATGGTTCAAGCATTAATGAGTTGGGAAAGCTCGAGCATCTATGTGGAAGACTTGCCATTTCGGGTTTACAAAATGTAGCGTGTGCAAGGGATGCCAAAGAGGCCAATTTGAAGGGTAAGATGAAGCTTAAGGAGTTGGAGTTGATGTGGGGTCAAGATGATCATGTTGCTGATGATTCAAAGCATGATAGAGAAATACTTCAACAACTGGAGCCTTATACAAACTTGGAGCATCTTGTCATTAGCTTTTACAGAGGTACAAGATTTCCAGAATGGGTGGGGCATGCTTCATTTTCAAATGTAGTTTCTTTGCTCTTAAGCCATTGTAAATTTTGTCTCTCCTTGCCACCGCTTGGGCAATTATCATCCTTGAAATCTCTCTCCATTATAGGGTTTGCCGGAGTAGTAACTGTCAGTGATGAGATTTATGGGCACTGTGATGCGTTGAGTAAACCATTTGGATCTCTTGAAACTCTAAGATTTGAGGATATGCCTGAGTGGGAAGAATGGATTTGTTTAAAAGAAGAAGCCTTTTTGCTTCTCCAAGAGCTACACATTGAAGATTGTCCCAAGTTAACCAAGTTTCTACCAAAGCACCTTCCCTCTTTAATGAAGCTTAATATTTTAGGATGTCAGAAGCTTGGAGGTTTGCTTCCTAGGGCACCAAGAATCTCTGAACTTAATTTGCTGGAATGTGACACATTGCAATTGGAGCAGATGTTGCAACATTGCACTCATCTTGAAAAGTTGGCTATACAGGATTGTTCTGATCTCAGATCACTTCCTGAAGGTGCACTACCCACTACGCTAAAGGAACTGAGTATCAATGGTTGTGATGACTTGGATTATTCCAAAATCCACTTGTATACATCCCTTGAATCCTTGAAAATAGAAGGTGGGTGTCATCCACTAGAATCTTTCCCATTAGGGTCATTCCCTAAGCTTAAACATGTTTATTTCTCCGACTGTGAAGAGCTGAAGTCAATTCCTTCATTGGAGGGCCATCACCAGCATCTTGCATGTCTCAATTCTTTGGATATCCATTCTTGCCCCAATTTTATATCCTTTCCCGAAGTGGGATTATCTGCCACCAATTTGACCATACCTGTGGTTTCAGCGTGCATGAATTTAAAGTCATTTCCGGAGCAAATGCACTCCCTCTTCCCATCCCTTAAATATTTGGGAATAGCCTATTGTCCAGAAATGGAGTCATTTCCACAACAGGGTTTACCCTCCAAACTAAAAACTGTTGTAATTGAAAAAAGTGATAAACTAATTGTGAGCATGAAAAGGAGGGAATGGAGTCTGCAAGCACTCCCTTCACTTACAGAGTTCACAATCATAGGTGCAGAAGAGATAGAGTTTTTTCCAGATGAACATCTGTTGCCTTCTTCTCTTACCCATCTTTACATATTGGATCTTCCAAAACTTAAGTCATTGGACTATAAGGGCTTTCAACACCTCACCTCTCTTCACCAATTGTATATCCAGAAATGTCCGATGCTCCAATCCATGCTTCCAAAGAGGCTCCTTACCTCTCTTTATCATCTACACATTTACGAATGTCCATCATTGAGAGAACATTGCAAAAAGGGGAAAGGTGAAGATTGGTCTGCGATTTCCCATATCCCTGCCATTCGGATTGATGAGGAACTCATTATGTAGCAGGATCCAAAGGTCTCAAAGGCTCTCTTTGCCATAATTAATGCAATCTAACTCAGGTATTTGATTTCATTTTCTTAAATTTTCGCTCCATTCTCTATTTATTTTCCGGTTTTATTCCTTGATTTTTATTTCAATAATTCTTGGTTGATTGAGGTTTCAGGTTTGTGTACTGTGTGTTATCATTTTTCATGAAAAGGAAAGATAAAAAGAAAAAGAAGAAAAAAAAAGTTGGTTTGTCTTTTCTTGCATTCTAATACTAAATTTATTTTTACTTTCATTATACGAAGGTTGAATTGTCCATTTGAAGTTTTAGATGCAATTATATCTCTAACTGATGCTTAATTTGCTGCAAATTGTGTTACAGCCTGCCAGGATCGTTCTTTCAAATATCAGTTGCACATTCTGATTTATGATTCCCATCCAAATGAAGTTCTTCTTGCATGATTTGCTTTAGTCTGGAGCTACAGGAGCTCATTTATTCCATCCCAGAATTATCCACATTAAAGTTTTTGATGGTTCAATGGCTTTGCGTCTAGCTTTGTGTATTTCACTTGAAATTTGAATTTCCTTTAGCTGCGAAGATGATGTGCACAAATTTCAAATCAAAAAAGAATAAGGACTTCAACTCCTTCGTCTCTTGTGTAGAATGAAATCAGTGACTCTCATATCCTCCAGTTCATACCAGAATCCCTGTCTTCCTTTCTATGAATATTCAGTTCAAGGGTTAGTCAAACAACTTGGACAGCTGCATCTTTTCAAAGATCTCTCCATTTGAGGGATTTCCTGTCTAGCAACTGTGGATTCTAACTTCTATGGGTACATTCTTTGAGTAATTCAATCATCTAGATTCCATGAAATTTTAAATTGCATTTACATTTGAGAAGATGGATTTGGCTTTATAAAGTAGCAAAAATTATGTGATAATACTCATGAATATATGACTTATATAATTACACTCAAATGCATGCATTTATAAAATTTACTCAGTTAGTGAATTAAAACTCCTAGATAGAAATTGATTCCAAATGCATCCCTTTTATACTCTCTCAAATGTAACAACCACACCATGCTCCAAAAAAAAATAATAATAATAATCACCAAACTCATCCTTCCAAAAAATGAACAAACCAAATTCAAATTGACCCACTCAAATAATTGTTTTGAATTGGAGCCTTAAGGTTTTATCAAATCTTGAAATGGCAGGAACAGGATTTTTCTGAAGACAAATGAAGAATGTGGCAGCATTCTCTCATCTTGAAGAACTTTACTTAAGGCTGTCCTAAGCTTATCAAGGTCTTACCCTTTTGATGAAACTTCAGAGTAAGGAATGGAGGCAGATTATGGTTATGAGTTAACTTCCAATTGCATCAATCTGTGAATTGGAGTAAGCTGAATTTGGTTTGCTGCCTTTTGAGGGACTGCTTTGTGGAATGAGGAATCTCCTCCCTCGTTCCACTCCTGCCAAAGAGTAAATAAGATAAATCTGCATGATGAGGTGTAAATAAGAGAATGCAATAATCCCAGGTCAAGCAACGAGTATAGCATCATTCATATGACGAGTTGGATAGCTCCCTACTTCTCTCTGGTATGCATATTTGCTTTCATTATTATTTGTGTTAATTAGGAGGTCATCTTTTTTTTTTTTTTTTTTTTCATTTCTACATCATTTTCCATTTTTCCCAACTTCATGTGCCTCTGTTTCATTTAAAGTTGCAACTTCCAGAACTTTCTTTCACATATTGTGTATTTGGTGTACTGCATGTACTGATTGTTGCTGTCACTTATCTCATGAATTCTTACCCGGTTTTTTATCCTTATGTTCTTGCCAAATTTTAGGTTTTTTTGCAACAAGTTTGTGTTAGCTACTGTGATCAATAAGCATGGCATCAACCTCAAATTTGTTGCAATCTTTCTAAAGACTTGCTGGCATGTTCCGTTTAACACCTTTCTCATTTGGTCTAACTTAGAAGTTGAAGAAAGAGAGGATTTATTGCCAATGACACCTTTGTCTGCAAAACAACAGCTTAAAGTGTTCACAACAGATCAATGAAAATTTTATGTTATTCACCTTTCATGAATGTTCTTGGATTTGATAATCAATTCATACCAGAAACAAGGATGTTAATATTGCATTGTTTCCTTCAGATTAAGAAATCGTTCTTTGCTTTTGGTTTCTAGAGGGAGGATGGCTATATTGCACTGCCCAATTCTCTGGAAAATGAACAGTCTTGTGATCTAATGACTTAAGCTGGACAGGTCATTGTTCCTTTCCTTCATAAGTTTTCTTTGAGGTAGACATTTTTGCACTATCAATGGTGACTCGTAATTGCTTAGTTCTCTGTAATATTGTTTCTATTATCATTTCAGAGACCACTCGAATCAAAGTAACTTGAATTTCTCTCTCCATTGCACAATAGCCTGCGGATTGCAAGGGAATACTGGATTTCATCCTGGAAGAGGTGCTCAACCTTTCCAGAATCGCCAGCCAGCTGATCACAGAAAACTTTGCTACGTGAAATGGAAACCAGATCAGCTTGTGCCAGGACACTTTGTTTTGTTTATGCCTTAGATGATTCCATGTATCAGCAATATTAAATTACCAGATTTTGAGGCCATCCATACAATACCATCTGTTCCACCATCTTCTGGGATGAGCAGCATTGCTTTTGCTGTATCTCTTAGTTTGAGAATCTTCCTCCAGCTCCAGCTGCATATCCTTGGTACACTGCTTGCCAGGTATTATGTGAGGAATGCCTCATCACTTGCTTCCTGCTGCGTTTGAAATCCTGTTGCAAATTTGAGTTGATTATTATCATTTATTTGAGTTTCTTCCACATCCATATTTACTTTGTTGTAGAGCTAAAAAAGAAGTTTGCTTTCTTTGTGATATGGGTACCAATCACATGAAAAATTCAAGAGGTCTACTACTGGCCACGGAGTTTGAATGTCTTTCCAGCAAGTTCAACATGCTTTATTTCAAATTTGGGCTTGTCAAACCAACATAGAGGACAATATTACATTTTTGGTAAAATTGGTGAATGATAAGGATATCAACTCCTTGCCTATTTTTAAACTATAGGAGGTTTAATTTCGCACACTTTGTGTCTTAACATGTGAACATTGTCCTCTGCTTCAAGCAAATTTGGACATTTAATTTTTCACAATTCTGAAATTATTTGGTACGGTTGCACTGACTTTATAGTATATTCATTTGGTCCTTTGTAGGTTATCCATGAAGAATAAGGTGCAAAGGCCATTCATTCCCTGAAGTGAGATAGGCAGAGATTGGCATCAAGTACATGCGTAACAAGTATTAATTGTTGTCAAAGTGGAAAACAGATGAATGGTCTGTTTCTTCGCTTCACTATGACACTATTTGTAGAAAACAACAATTTAAAGTGTTCTCAACTATGAGATCAATGAAAATTTTAAAGCTGTTGACTTTTCTTTAAGGTTCATTGATTTTGATATCACTTCATACCAGAAATAGGATGTTAAAATTGCTTCGTTTCCAGCAGATTAAAAATTGTTCTTGTGGTTTCTAGAGGAAAAGTGGGCAAGTTTTCCTTCAGGTGCACATTGAACCCACTGTATTATCACTTGGTAATTTCCATTATTTTCCCTATCTATGGAGGCTCTAAATTGCGTACTTATTTTTATTACTGTTTCTACCATCCTTTCTAATTATCAAGATTATTGAAGTTTGAAGGTCTGGGTAACTCAAAATTTGATGAAACCTGGTAAAGGACCTAAACAAATCTAAGCAATCACCACTTAACTTATGATGTTGTTATTATTATTATTATTATGAATATTTTGAAGGTTCTTTTTTAGGAAAGTTGAACATGCTATGTCAACTAGGTTAATCATTAGGGCACTGTTAGAAATTTAGATTTAATTTTTTAACTTGTACAAATACTTATGTGATATGATTGCTCTTTTGATGTCAGGCACAACTATGGCTACCATTGATGCTTTTCTCCGTTAGTGCTGGAAGTTTTGTTTCCATAACATTAACGCTTTTTGGGGAAAAAAAATGAACTGCAGCTAATGATCTTCAGTGATTGTGAATTGTGTTCCAGGCTGGGTCCAATTGCTATTTGAGGTATGCTTCATCAGTTGCTTCTTGTTACGTCCGGGAAATTTGTTGCAAATTTTCATGTTAAAGTTAGTTAAGTTCTTTCTGCATCCAAGTCTACTTTTATTTGGAGCTGACAAAGAAGCTGTGATTTTTCAAGATTTATTCGCCATGCAAATTTCAAATGGTCTACTACCTGCTACAGCTACAAGTTGAATCCCTTCGCAGCTAGTTCGAAATTTGGCTTGTCAAAGCAAACATAGAAGCTCATCTTACGTTGTTCACTGACTTCATTTCGGCGAATATAAATAGGACATCGGTTCTTTGGATTTTTGAACTAGAAGAGGTCAATAACAATCACAACCTCCAGTTCCAACCACACTGGCCTTCTCAAAACACAAGGACAGCGCCAACACATTCAACAGAAGGGATGGCAACTGAAATTGAAATGCTTATGTGATGCATGGAAGGGCAAATCTTGCTCTTGATCTTGATGGAGTTTTTTCTTTTTCTCAAGGCATCCATCCAGTACTTTACTTCACATAATTCGCCTTTTTTATTGTTAATTGCTTGTAAAACGGCCCATAGATGGGTAGCCCAACCATTCAGAAATAGAAATTGCTATAAGCCAAAACTTCCCAGTTTTTACTTGGGTAAATAGCAAAGACAATATAAAAGACAAACACATGCAATGTTAATTTGAAAAATAAAATAAAATAAAAAAGCACAGCTAGTTTGGAACTTGGAAGCAATAACCAAGATGATTAGAAAAACAAATTTTGCTTTCTCAAAGCAAATTAGCAGAGTGATAGCAGGTATCAGTATCAAATTCCTTGTCAACCTAGCAAAATTATACATTTTTTTTCCCAATCAAATCCTATGTTTGTTCACACTATGAAAACTATGATGAGTTCATACCTTAAATTGCATACCCAAAGCTTTAAACTTTGAAACAATTGTTGGATAAAAATATAAACATAAAAATCAATCTTGATTAAAAGTTTATAAACATAAAAATATCCAAATGCTGGAGAAAAGATTGGGTTAGAAGATCTTCCAAGGCAATTAACCATTGTTTTCCTTGTTTTTCTCAACTATAACCTAACTTGGCTCATCAACTCCAATTATATCATCAAGGAATGATTTCATTTCTCTTCAATTCTGAGGTTGTGGAGTAGTGTATCTATGCTCAAATAAGATACAGATATAGATACAACAAGGAAAGTAGAGTGTTTATAGACACTTCTAAAGATTGAAAAAGAAAATTTTTCTCTTGAACATCCTCAAATTTTTTTCTAGACATCTTTTTCATTGATAAAATTGGTAAATTTTTTAATAATTTTTTATTTATATTACAATAAGACACTCCCAAAAAAAAAAATCATAGATTCATCACTTATTCAAATCCTACTCAAAAAGATTTAAAATAAAAAACCATGATATTTATAAATATTTTTGAAGATTGAAAAATTAAAATTAAAATTTTAATTCTTAAACATCGTAAAATTTTCTATTGAATGCCCTTTTCGTCTATAAAATCAATAAATCTTTTAATATTTTTTTATATATATTATAAAAAAACACGTTCAAAAAATAATCATGAATTCATCGTTGATTTAAATTCTACTCGAAAAAATTTAATTCATTATGAATTAAAAAATTTGTAATGTCAAAATAAAGGGTTCCTTTGATTGTTAAGAGCAAGAAATTTTAAGCTTGGCTTAGTGAATTAACTATTTTATGTATCGGCATGCATGATGAATAAAGGAATATTTGAGTCTTGAGACTTGAGGTTCCCATTTCCACAAAATAGACCATCCAAATTTCCAAGTCAAAATTCAAACTACATTTTTACACAACTCCCAAAGATTAATTTATCAAAGCAAATCTGTTTTTCAGAAAATTTTAGTGACTACAATTTACAATGAAATCGTCTTACTAAATCCCCCATGCATTCACACTTCTTGCCGGATTATAGTATGATTTAAGGTTAACTCCATGTTTATAAGTTTCAATAGTTGGATACTTGAATTTTTTTTTTTTTTTTACAAATGAATTCAAGAGGAATCATTTGGATTAAGCCCTAAGTTTGGATAGTTGAATTATTCTATATAAGCATATATTGTAATATTACAATTTTAAAAAATAAATAATTAATTAAAAGAGTTGAAATATGAAGAATTTAAATACTAAATTTATTTTATAAGATCTACCATGATGTGGAATATATATATACTATCAGTATAGTAAATTAATAATATGAAAATTACCCTATATATACAACTTAAGGTAAAACTTTTTTAATTTGGGACAAAAAGAGAACATGAGCGTAACTTTAAATATTAAATGGTTTGTTTTAACAAAAACATATATAATATGATGGCATGGGAAAAAATAATGTAATATTATACAGATCAAAAGAATAAAAATTTTATTTAAATATAATTAAAATTTAAAAATTTATTTTAAAAAATAAAATAATACAAGAATTTTTTTTATTATTTTAACCAAATAAATTAAAGGTGGACTGTATATGTTAACTTAAACATTATTTAAGTATAATTTTAATAGATTTTTTTTGTAAAAAAAATTTAAATTAGATAAATTATTTAATCTTTTAAGTTAAAATACATATCTGATAATTTAAAATAAATAATTATAAATCATATATTTAAAATGACTTTAATAAATGATCACAAACAAAATTTAAATTTAAAATTTTTTATAAAAAAAATAAGTAAATATTAATCAATGAAACTAATCATTTATTAATATTTTAATATATTTATTATTTTTAGTTTGTACCATTTCAAAAAAAAAAAAAAAAGCTTTGATAAAGTTTTGCCGCTGAGTAACTTTCCTTGGGTGTACTTATCGATGACTGCATGTCCCTTCCCGAGCAATTTCCTCAACCCAAATTCTTGCATAACTTTAGAGAAGAGGGAACAAGTGTAGTGATTTTATTAGCAAAACAAGGGGCTTCTTTGCCCTTTACCTTTTCCTCGCTCTGCTTTGTCTTAATTTTGAACCCCTTTTTTTAATTCTATTTTAAGGGCATTTTCCATCCTAGGTATTCGTGATTTTATTTTTAAATTTTTAAAAAATAATAAATAAATTTTGATTCATAGAAAAAAAATTTTCTTTATCAGTTGAATTAACTTTTATAAGTAAACATATTCACCAATCAAATTATCAGCTCAATCTGACTTAAGATATTAAATTATTAACAAAAGCATTTTTTAATTTAATTTTAATTTAAATATATATTTAAAATTTAATTTTTTAAAAAATATTGTATGACTAATTATTGTAATGTGCTAACCCTGATTTGAGCCTTGTAATAAATATTTCAATTTCAAAAAAGTAAATAGATTTATGTCTCAAACAAAAACAATTTTTTTATATTACCAATATAAAATTTTACGAAAAAGCATAATTTTTTAAAAATCATCAATTATTCATTTAAAACATCAAAGCACACGAATGCCAAACTTGCTTTGCCTTTGAGCCAAATTCAGTCATCAGTCAAACAATGGTAACCCCCAAAAAGAAGATCTAAAGCAACTCTTTCCAAAATCTTAGGTTTGTCCTTTAATTATTGGGAAACCCAAATAATTATAATTTAAATATTAATTTTATTAATCTTTTCTCTTTTTTTCCTTTTGTTGTAAAAAATAATAACCCCTTTGTTTCAAAATGGATGCCAGAGCATCTGGTCCACTCAAAATTACTCTTTTATGTTAATACATTGATATAAACATTAAGATATATTAGGGTATTATCGTCTTTTCGGATATCCAATTAATCTGTGTCCTTAAACTTTATCAAACTTATTTAAACCCCAAAATGTGTTCCTTTTTCTCCACCAAACAAACTAGTAATAGAAAATTCAATCTCTTTTTCTTTTTTCCTCTACATTTCTCCACCATATCATATGGTAGGGGAAATCAAATTGAATCATCATATTTACAGTGAAATGAAGCAAGCTGAGACCAACAGAAGCTTCTGCGACCGACACGTGGCAGACCCATGTAAGGCGTTCGGACGACGGTGCAGCCGGTTGGTGAAGGAGCAAAGAGCAAGGTTCTACATTCTCCGGCGGTGTGTGACCATGCTTCTTTGCTGGCATGAATGTGGTGAAACTTGAAAGAAAAAGAAAATGTAGAGAGCAAAAAATAGAGCTTATATTAGAAGAAAGTTTCTATGTTAATACATATTTATTAGAATTAATACACATCAAAAGGAAGGGTTCTTTAGTTTTTTTTTTTTAGTTCATTTTCTTATGAGTTTTGAGCAAAAGAAAGAGTGCAGATCATCATATGTCAGAAGAACAGTTCCATATAATTATAGTAATATTAATTTCACGGAAATTTTTGATCTCTTGATAAAGATTTCATTTTTCTTCTTTTCTTCTATATATATATACACACATATATGTGTGATAAAATGAAGTTTTCCTACCATAATTTTGATGAGTAAAGAATAGCTTTTAGGATGAAATGGAGCTATGAATATTTTCTTTTTCTGTTTTGCCCTAAAAGGAAGGCAACTGAAAAACTGGGTTTCTGGTTGATTATTTCTCAGAATTTTGTTTCTGCTTGTGTCTGATTTGATGGTTATAATTAGTTGCTTGAAGGCTGAGTTTCACCATGCTGTGACAGTATAGTGAAAATTCTTTTCTCTCAAGCATTCATATATTTGCTATTCCAGTTATATACAGATTTAATTTGTTTGGCTAACAAATTTTACTAAATTTCCCTGTTAGATAACTATGCCAACTATGATTTGACAAATTTTAACAACTTTGACTCATTTTACTTTTTCTGCCAAAATAACATGTTTTCTAAATTGGGTTTCAATTAATTTTGTCAATCATGCATTACAAATCACAGATCAGCATTAAGATTATTTCCTAGCTGCAAGAGTAAGCATATTCAAGGCTAGAATTACATATAGAAATTAAACCATTTAGAGCATAACGTAAGACATTCAGCAAAAGGGGATATAGATTTTTGTTCGTCCATTTTGATTTAGGAACTGTTCCTTTGTATATACATATATATAAAGAAAGTTGTAGCTTCAACAAAAAAAAAATTATAAATGTTAAGATTTGAATTTTATATTTATTATATATCATCGAATTAATAATGATTGTACGAATCAATTAAATTAAATTTAAGATTTTTTTATTTTTATTTGTTTAATAAAAAAAAAAAAGATATGACATATCTGTAAAGTTAGTTGATCAAGTCCTAAATTTGTTTTATTTCTTTTATAGCTAAAACTCTTTCAGTGATTTTGAGTCATGAAATGCTGTTTAAACAATCTTATTTTTACACTTTTCTTAAAGCCAATGTTTTTGTGGTTATGGACTTGGAATTTTAAATTATTTTCTTGATTCATTAATTGAATTAGTTTGAAACTTTGTTGGCACTACAATCCAGAATATAAGTTCTTCTGCAAGACAAGTAAGAGGACTGCATATTTGATGCCTGATCTAGCGTTGGAACAGCTTATATTTCCTTCCCATGAATTTTATGCATTAAAAAAAAAAGAGAAAAAGAAAAAGATAATTTATAACTTTAGCATTTTTAAAAAAAAAAAATGGATTAAAGTTAAATTTGCTACCATATTATAGTTTAATATTAAATTTTGTCATTTCATTTCTATTTTATTAAATTTTATGATTATACTTTCAGTGATTTT